TCCCTTTTTCTTTCTCTTTCCTGGATGTTAGCAAGTTTAAGCTGAGTGACTAATTTAAATTATTTCATTTATAAACAGAGAAGTTAATGAATCACAACAATAAAAAGGGTCACATAATAATAAACCTCCATTGTTTAGAGCGATGTTAATCCTTTTTTCCCTATCCGCACACTCCTTGATGATCTGGATATTCCAATAACATACTGACAATAGCTAGGAAGTACCTTACAATACTCAAGTTGAAATTTTGACTTTTGTTGGTAGAGAGATACAACATTTATAAAAGGGTGATGATCAGTGAGGTCACTGCAAGTATTTAACAAAAACAAACAAAAGTGAAGCTCCTAACTTCCCACCTCCCATCAACCGAAGACGTCTGCAACCCTCCCAGTTCCACCTGAGCCCTGCCAGCAAACGGAACGATTCAGTCCTTCAGCTTTGAGACCCTGGGCTTCCCGAGCACAAAGCCCCAGGCAGATCAGAAATAAGGTTTGAAACACTGTCCTTCATCTACTACACTGTGCTCAACAGAATTCCCACATCGATGGGACAGCACTGAAATACAAGACGGATGTAGGTAAAACCAGTTTTGGATTTAATCCAGCATCTGTGCATCAATAGAGATGTTCGTGACTACAGTTTGAGGCAGGCAACCGAAGGACTGTCCAGCCACACAAACTTCTTTTTTTGCACATCCTACAGGAAAATGCACCTGAAGAAATCAATGTATATTAAGGACCTTGTATTACAGAATAACCCCTTTTGCACAGAATATCCGTAGTTGCACCAAAGACTACGTAAAGCATGATCAATATAATTACACACTGGAAAGAAGACAACCCATGAGAGCAGCAGCAACAGAAATCAGATGCAACTGTCATTTGGCTGGATTGAGTGGTTTTTTGTAACCTTAACCTGTGCTAGTGAAAAGGCTGGGAGACAAAGCTTGTTCTCTGTTAAAACCCTCCCCGTGCCATGCTGATTACAGCTCTGGAGACCAGCATTAAAGTCAAGCTTGTATCACAAAGTTTAAGACCACTGCTGTGATATGGAGAACTCGAACCTTCATCATCACAGTTTTATGTGAACCACAGACAACCTTGTCAATGACTTCCCCACTCTACTACCCCGCTTCTTCAGAACATCACTGCTGGCAGCAAGATAGCAGCTCATGTTAGTACCCCATCAAGATACCTGTGGAAGGAAGAAGTGGGTTTGAACATCTTTAGTTCAAATTCACACCACAATATTAAGCCACAGACCCTGCAAAGTAACACCACCTTCTTTTATAAAGGCAATTATGTGTTGACAGTGGTACAGATGGGATAGCTGCTTGACCGACAGCCTGTTTAAGCACCTGCATTAATGGTATCGCACTGCAGTGAACCTTCCCCGTGCTATAGCGAGGAACGCTTTGCTGCCCTATCTCTCCTGGCACGAGCTCCTCTGCCCCATGACTGTGCTGCTGTGAGCAGCGCCAAGCTCCAGGGCCAGGAGAGCTCGTTAAACAGCGTTAAGGGCAGGTAACGAACAGCTCTGGGTGAAAGGTACGATGCTCCTGCGGGGACCAACTGAACGAGCCAGGGGCCGTCTGTTTGCAGAGGAAAGGCTGAGCTCTTGTCCCAGCCCAAACCTGCAGCAATATAATGCTTAGCTCTGGTTCCTGGCAACCTCATTAACCAGCAAACAATCAGGCAATGCTTAAATGGGATAGACTTATTTAATCACAAAAACACGATACTCATTATTAGGACAGGATGTGTTTTCCACCTTATCTCTTAATCTTTACACTTACAAAGGCCAGTAGTCTCATTGTTACAGGCTGTGATCTCCCAGTGGTCACAAGGTCTGCAGAGGCAGGACAGCTGATTTTTACAGAGGAGGCAAATAAAAGTCCACACAGCCAAAAGAAGGTACCAAGAAGGATGCAGCAGGTGGTCTTCTCTCTATTTATGTACACTGACTTGAATAATACAGGAATCTCTATCCCTCTATTAGTGCATATGTGGACGCATCATCTTTTCCATCACCCATAAAACTTCGGTCCCAAGTACACCGGACATCTCAGGTTCCCAAAACACTTTTCATAATGGTAAGGTATTAATCGGGGCAACCTGGTAATTATCAGATAGGATAAAATGTGCTCTAGCTCTCTAATTGGCTTCCAGGAACTGAACCGGAGACGTTTTTACTTTCTCCTTCTAAAAGGAGCTCAGTAATGCTGCTGCTGATAAAAACAACTACCAAACGGAGCTTTCAGGATGAAACTCATGCAAGTTTTAAAAAATTAATAAACAAAATTTAGTAGCCTTGGATCTAAGCTATTGGCTTAAAAGAGGAAGAGAGTAAAGGATGCAATGCAAAGGTGTCAAGAACAAAAGGGTGAAATCTGGGGGAAGCAATTTTTCCTGAGAGTAGACAAATGTAGGGAGATCCCCTGACATGTCTGCATTGCATGTTATTTCCAGTCATTTACTTCACAGAGATTAAATTCCTTATGGAGAAATTCACAGGATACTGTTCTCAGTTATTTGAAAACAAGCTCAAGGAGCCTATACACAGAAAATAGAGTTGACAACACTTAAGAAGGAACCCGCTGAGGTTTGGTGTTCACCTACCAATGGCCAGGCCACAAGACTGTTATGTCTGCCTTTTGAAGAATAAAAATACCAGGAAGATCCATTTTTCTTTATGTTCTGCTCACACCTAACAACTCTCAGATGAGCTGACCTGTCAGTTAACAACATGTGGAAAACAAAACTGATCTTAAAATGTACAAAGCATTTATACTGAGAGCAAACAGGAAGACTAAATATTGAATTTTCAAGATCCTTGAGTTTCTCTTTTTGCCGTCCCTGTCTCTTCTTTAAGCTACCAAAATGTCTTTGTTTTGAAAGGGAGCTGATTTGGTTACATATCTGGCCAGAGGAGGAGAAAGAGAGAAAAGGGAGTCACTGATGTATTAATAACATTGTCATCAACTTCTTTGCACTGCAAAGAAACACTATACTGAGTGCCATACAATCATTATTTTACACCAGGCTACATTTGACCTCAGCCCAGTCCTCCTCATTATCACGTGAGTTGAGGACTTGTAAGTATGCCACTCCAGTATTTCATATTAAATACAAACCCACACAAAATGGTGGGAAAATAAACTAAGTCAGAAGATAAGACTGGGAAAACTAAGCCTCCAGATTAGTTAAGTCATACACTGTTCAAAAGACGTAACGATAATTTTATCCTGCTTTCTACCATTCATGTGTTTCTACCATAGCATCTACATCATATATTTGCACATAAGTTTCATTCCCTTTTAATGTGTCCTAAGTTTAAATTAAGTTTCTTCAAAGTCAAGGTGCATTCAGTAGGCTTGTGATTTAACAAATTTCAGGCAACATTTACAGAATATGATGGCGTACTCCAGGAAGCCATTCTCCCAAAGTCACATCACACTACGTAGTGTTAATCTTGCTTCAAGCACAAGACTTAGTACAGTAAGTAGAGAATAAATTCCAATACAAGCTTCCAGCTGGTAATCAAAAGCAGGCAAGATTTAAAAGCTTGCATGGCATTAAAGGTCAGTGCGATCCATTATTTACAACACACAACACTTTCCAAGGTACAGGTCTATCACGAGCCGTGAACATTTCTCCTTCCTTCCCCTTAAAAGCCACAATTGCAAGCAATTTTCCCTCCATATTTTCCATCCTTGCATCCAGTTCTTCCAGTGTTAGCAAGGTCTGTGGGTAGGACCATAAGCACAGGATGGCTTCATCAACTAACCTGCTCTGGGCATGGCAAGGCAATATGGAAAATAAAGAGTCACAAACCTGGCTGGCAGCTTTGGCACAAATTTAACACACATGCATACACCCCCACAAATCCAGGTCAAATTTGACAGTCCCCATGTTCTGCAACAAAGCTGCTATTCAAGAGCGAGAGGAAGCTTGCTCCTTATTAATGTAGCCATCGAGGTTACAAGCTTCCAGGAGGCTGACGTAAACCATTCCCTGCTGCAGCACTCAGCACAGCCGAGCTGTTCGCTGCTTCCAGTTCCTCCCTGCCACGTGTAAAACTCCGACCAGAAAAATATTATCACAGTGGGCAAGCACCGCACACCGGGACGCCCTGTGTTCCACACAAGCAACTACTTCTTACAGCCTCTCCACACATCAAGTCGCAAGAGCACAGCCATGTGCTCGAGCATGCTTTTGGGAGGAAAAAAATAAAAGCAGGGGGATGCATGGTGACAGCATTACAACATGTCTCAAAACTCCTTTAATATTGTCTGCTGGAAAGACAGAGGAGCTCTGTGACTTACCTGAGAGTTACCACCGCGCGTTTGCAATTCAATGAATACAAATAAGGCCTTTGGGGAGCAAAGAAAAAAGGAGCAGCATCTCCAAAAAGGGTGGAGGGAAGCATTTTGTGTGAATAGCAAGAGAGGAAAAAACCGTTTAAATTTTATACTCACATATAACGGAGCTTGCTGTGGATTAAGTTTCATGACCTCAGAACACTGAAACAAAAAAGAAAAGACAAATTTAAGACATTTTTTATAAAATTTTAAGTACTTCTTCATACGCTGCAGAACGTTAAACTTCCAAAGCTGTATTAGCACCCCTACATTATTTTTTCCAGTAGTCACTTTTACACAACAATTTGCTATTTTCTCTCTTTCAGATCAAAAAGGATTTTTTTTTTTTTTTTATGCTCACGTTAAGGAAAGGCAACTCTAAAATGATTTGTAGAACAAAGCGCTCATCTGAACCGTCAGCAGTGTTGGCACTGAGGATATCCCAAGTGAAACTCGCTTCCTCTTCATGTCCATCCCAGTTCATCTTTCCTCCTAGCAACCTTCATGTCGTATCTGCTTTTTATGACAATTATCAACCCTTAATTGCTGTCTGTCCATGCTTTCCCCACTCCCACCCAAAAAAATGTTTGTAAAGATTTGTAGTTCTCTCTGCAGTTGGAGAAGACCAATTACTCTGGCAAATAATACCTTGCCCAGGTTAATTTGGTGCCTTTTTTTTCCCCTCCCACTGGATTGTTTGTTCAGGAAACATTTCAAAACTGTTTAAAAATCAAACTATCAAAAATAATCCTTGCAAAACTGAGGGAAAACTTCCAGAATAGACAACGCTCACGATTCTGCATCAGCATTTTTCGTAGTCAAAAACTACCATTACTCATCCTACCAAGGTGATTTTAGTCAAGAAAATTTCCTCTTTCAGGTCTGCCCCTGAAATTTCTATATAACCTGGTGAAAGTTATTTGTATTGAGCTTCAAATCGGTTGAATCAGAACGTCACTTGCATTAGTTTCTGCATTGCAGTAGAAAATATTCACCCTAAGCGAAAGCTGTAAGTTTTCATTGAATGTGTGTATTAAGCAGTCCAGGATCCTAAGATGAAGGAATGCAAAACAATTAAAAATGGAATTTCTGCTGTTGCTCATATCTGCAGTACTGGTAATGCTCTGCAAATACTTCAAACCCTTTTTAAAAAGGGATGAAATACCACTCTGCTTTTCACACAGAAAACAGAGGATCTTGTTCATACTTCGTTCCCTTCCAAATCCCAGTTTGCCTTTAGTGAGACAGAAATTAAACCACAGCCTAAGTTTTCTTAGCCGATTCCAGCTATCCTTACTCCCTCACACGCTCTCCTTATTTTACAAAGAAGAGGTTTTGTACCGGTTCCTTTAAAATGTCTGAGCTACCTGCCAAGCTTGCTCACCAAAACACAGTCCCTCTGCAAAAGGTCTTCCAAGGCAGCCAGGAGACGGATATGTTGCAATAGTTTTAAATCTAGTCAAATTCATACCTATTTTCAACCTCAAGATTCCCCTTCCAACAGCAAGAATGCCTCAAAATGGTTATGCTTGATATTTTTCCCTGTATTTTCAGCTCTTACAAAGACTGACTTACTCGTGAAAATAGGGGACTAGTAGCACTAGCTATCATTTGGGCAGGCGAGCTCCAAAAACAGCTCTGCAAGCAATCCTCACTTCTGCCCTACAACATGCTCCTGCTATTCCAGTCCTACTGAGGGCTCAAAAAGAAAAGAAAAAAAGAAACAAAACAAAAAAATGCACAAACCCTGCCAATCTCCCTCATGACCTACCTGAGCCCCTCCCTCCTATTCTGAATGTGGGCATCTTAAACAGGGGTACCAAAACATTATCCAGCTGAGAGCATTTATTGTATCTTATGGAAATTAAACCATGGTTGGAAAAACTCCCTTTTAAGCCCACTTCACATTTAGATTTTTACAAAGTCTCATTGCAATAGACCAATTCCCTCAGGAAGCAAAATTAAGACCTGTAGTCTAACACAGCAATTTGGTAGTATTTGGATATGACTTTTAAAAAAATATTACAGCACAGAATCAAAACAGTTGTGTCTCAGGTGATAATGTTTAAAGGGAGTTAATATAAAGCATCGTTTTCTCACCACATCTCTTCAAGTCTTGACAAGTAATTGAACAACTTTTCTTTTTGCTGATAGAAGATACAGTGTGATACACCTTCAAAGACAACGAATCTATACTTTTGCATTTACATCAACTATTAGGATTACTCCTTATCCCCAAAATTCAGCCATCATTCTATGCTAGCAATATTACTACTGGCCTTCTATAGGATAAAGTGCAAGTTAAAGGATGTCACGTGAAAAATTCAGGAAAACAGAACACGACAGGTTTGTATTTGCCCAAGACACCACAGGCAATACATATACTCTGCTCCTCAAGTTTCTCTCTGCTCCCAAATAATTAGTTTTTTCAATTTTTATCACCTATTTCAGTTTCTCAGGAGTTTGCTCTGAGGAAAGGAAGTTATTCTAACATACTCAAATATATTCCTTCCTCCTTTGTTATTTAACAGCTTCACCTCTTCCCTATCACGGTTCACAGGTATGTTACTGTCACTCTTGCCGTTAACCACAGTAACTTCTGTGATCTGAAAGCAAATTACATCTGCATTCACTCAAAAACCAAAATTAACAAGTGCACACTCACAGGGAGGTCACACCTGGATTTCAACCACAGCTGTTTGCTTTGCTTTGGCAAACCCACGGGGCACCAGCCAGCTTCTCACACTCAGTAGGGTATTCTCACCACTGCCTCATCCCTCCTGCTCCACTTTGTTTGCTCTACCCAGTCATCAAGCCAACGCCTTCTAAAAAGACCCACCCAAAGCCTCATGAAATAAGGAGGAAGGCCCTAAGTGCAAGCCTGGGGCATGCACCTAATCCCAAAAAGGAGTAGCAGGATCTAGACTGTTATATTTTCCCCTCCCTGATGTAGGTTTGAGAAGCTGAGAGGTGTTGACAGGAAGAATCGGGTATCTACGCTGGACCTCTTGTCTCCTTTCTTATTGACTGCTTCACTGGTGCTTTAGCCTACCCTTTTCAGCAAAGCCATGGAGGGACCTGTATTACACCAAAACAAATGCTTCTTTATTTGATATTTGGGTTGCAATGCCGTAGGACTGATCCGCTGTGAGCCCCCTCCCTGCTTTCACCATTTTTGTACAAGATGCCATTCTAGCACCTGCCACCAACACCCATCACACCTTTATAAAAAGGAGAAACCACAGTTCATGTGCTCCATCACAAGGTCTACTCTGCCAGGTTTATCCAAAGTGAGAAGCTGTCATGTTACACATCACGCTTGATACACTCAAGACATTTTAGCTGAAAGTCCCAATGTGCAAACATTACCCAAGCTCCTTTGATGAAGTTTTTCATCAGTCCTTTTTTATGGAGCAGACAATGTGAGTATTACTAAGAATGCTCCTTTTAAGACCATTGGTGGAAACCAGTAAAAAGAGCTTTCCTGTGCTGTCTAGCTCAAAGAGCTTTCCTGTGCTGTCTAGCTCAAAGAGGCTGCACTGAAGGTATCAAAGATCTGTACATCTGAAACATCAGCCGCAGAAGAGCATGCCCTCAACAGAGCATTTAGGTTCCTGTAATTCAAGGAATAAAATGAGATGGCATCCTGTGATCTTTGCCATCCGACAGAAGCGCAGACCATTTTGTCCTGCTCCATCACCTTCCTGGCAGATGCCTGATAGCAGCTGAGTAGACGGAGAAATGGGAAAGAGGAGAAAGACACGAACAGATCAGGAAAGGATGGGCTGGCATTACAAACTCTCACTGGGTAACCTCTTTCTGTGGTAGGGTTGGTTTTGGCTGTAATGAAAGTGCCAAAAGTCACAGAGTCCTAAAAAAGTAAGTACTTGATGTGTAAGGAAGCGAGAATATTGACGCTTCTCATCAAGGAAAAAAGGGGAAGCCTATGAGTTCAAACTCACGACCAGTTTTTGTTGGGTTTTTTTGGCAAGAGAAGTGCACAGCAGCACCGAAATAAGGTGACACTGCTGAACACTTGGTCTTGTCAAACACAAAAACAAAAATCCTGGAAATACTTCCTACGGGAAGATTTTTTCCCCCTCTTGTCTTACTAGTTGGCCCTTACATCAGTAACTTAAAATGAGTTCTCATTTCATAATACACATGTCAGTCCAATTTTTCAAAGGATGCAAACTTAGTTTGCAAGGAGACAGGCAGGTTTGGAAGATATTTTATTTTATCTTGTTAGGAAGTGCTTTGGCAAAAACATACGAGAAAAACTGAGTGACAGATAACCCTGAATGACTACTCTGCGTCAGCGAAGGACTAAATTTAGGTTTCTAGACAAGTGAACTTCTCCAACCAGTGGGTAGGCAGGGAGCAGCCTCTGAAAAACTTTAAAACAACTTTAATACAGTAAGAAAAGGGAAAACAAAAGAAAGAACATACTGGTCATAATCAAACCAAGATTCATAAGGACCCTAATATAGTCTATTAGTAAGTTGGACTACTTTAAGTGTAAAAAAAAGGAAAAAAAAAAAGAAAAAGATAAAAAGGCTAAACTGTGTTTTCTCCTATATTAAAGGAGCACATCCTTCCAGTTGCTGCCTGCTCTGAGCCCCAGAAAGCAATTTCTATCTTTTGGGGCAGGTAGCACTTGCTCTATCAGGTAACGCAGGCTGCAGAGAGAATACCTGGCCCTACTGCGAGAACTGTAGAACTGCACATGAACTGCCTTGAAAGCCAAACTAACAAGAATAGGCAAATATAAATCCCACCTCTCTCGGCCAGCTCCTAGCTGGGCACAAGAAGTCATGCTATGGGCACCCTCATGGCAGCCAGCAGATTCTGCTCCAGCAGCAGTTGCCTGTACTTAAAACATTCATATTATTGCTTGCAAATAGCTGAATCTTTTGAATTTCAGCGTCTGGGAGGTTTATCACATGCTCTACAGCCATCCAAACACTTATCTTGCAATGTTTCTGGAACTGAATTAGGTTTTTCCCCTTAGAATAACACAGTGAAATCCCTTGCTTTTGCAAATTTGAAAGTAGGACATGAAATAAAAGTCCAGGTTCAAGCTCTTAAAAGCAACAGTGGTTTTAGACATTATAAAGATCTGCATAGGTCAGTAAAATTGAAAGCTACTGAAGTCTGCTCAAAATGGGATGGATACCTTTCTGCTCTGTTGAGCATTAAAGAATTAATACAGTGAGTTGTATTACAGTCTCTTCTCGAGAACTTCAGTGTTATTTTGCACAAAATTTCATGGACGAGGACAAATGACTATGCTTGATTTCTCTGGGTATGGTAACATCTGAGAGGGAAGGGGGG